ACAGGCCCAAACAAGTCTCTCAACCTGATTTTTTAAAAAGCAAACTCCTAAGCAAAAGACTTTGCTAAAGACAAAATCTTTCAAACAAGACTACAAAATCAAATGAATATATCAATTTCTTCTCCCAACCTCCTTATTATCTTTTAAAATCCGAACTCTTTATGGAAAATGTATGCTAAAAATCAAAAACTTTTTGAAGCAAATTAAAAATGTCATCTGCTGAGAGAATAATTATTCGCATAAAATAATTCTCCTGATAGAAACTATCACATGCTCCCAGCACATAGATAAACAAGAAACTGAAACACATATAAAATGAAATTATTAGCAACAGTAAATTCAAAATTTTATACCCACAGCATGAACATCTCTCATTCAATCCAGAAAAAATAATTCGCCCAGTAGAATCTATTACAGGCCCCAAAAGGTTAGCATACATGACATATAATTCAAACAAGACTATAAAATCAAATGAATATATCTAAGTCTTCTCCCAACATCCTAATTTTTTCTTATAATCGGAACTCCTTATGCAAGGAGTATGCTAAAAAAAAATTCAAAGCAATTAAATATATAAAAAGAAATGATTCTAACTGTGGATGGAAAAGTTCATACCCACAACATGACTACTCCATTGGGAGGGGCTCAAAACCAAGTCAGAAGCAGCAAATGGCCGAACATTTGACCACCACTAGCGTCTTTCTACCAAGCTTGGCCTATAAGGGGGTCCATCGTAAGATTTGAAACAGGTGGTGGTTAAAGAGAATATCAAAACCAAAACCAAAGAATCGAAAAGAAAAACACTAACCAGAGTAGCAACGACAAAATCGAAGCCACGAGAGATTGTAGGACAAAAGATGCGGCATGTCATCGTCGAAGTCAGTCTCCACTCCACAATATCTGGATTCGTTTTTGTCCCATCCTCCTCTCTCACCCAACGGCATGTTTGCTTGCAGAGAAGACGAAGACGAAGTCGAGAAGAAGAATAAAGATGAAAAGAGGCTTTTGGGTTTATTGATCTTCTTCTGCAAACAATACAAACAAGAGGCCTCAAGGGTTTTGGTTGAGTTAAACGGAGGGTTAATTTTCTGACTTCCCCTGAAAATAGGTTGGCTTTACTTACATTTGTAAACTTCAAAAGACGGACTAGAATCGGACAGAAGATGGTGGAGAATAATGGACTATGGAGGAAGAAGATTGAATGCATGAACGAAGCCGAGAAGGAGATGGAATGGAACAGTGCGTGGAGAAGAGAAGATGCGCGCAAATACAGGGGAAAACTGGGGAATTAGGTTGGGTTTATATCGGAATGGGTTTTAGTAATTAACTTAAAAAATTTGGTCATTTCTTAGTTCATTATTTTTTTAACTAATTTTTTAGTTACATAGTATATTTCATATTTTATAAACCATATTTGCAACAAATATTTAGAGTGCATTGGTTTATTATTTGGATAAGATTTTAGGGATAGTATTGGATGTTGGTAGGGGAGTATTACAAGATAAATTTAAATTTTTTGAAAAAGCCCTAAGGTTTGCTAATTTAATAAACACCCCAATATATTAAAAATTGTAAAATGACAAAAACACCCCTACCCGTAGTGCCAGATTTGGCCACCACCGTGGAATCTGGGCGGAGAAATTGGAAACCACCATACCGATCAGATCTGGTGGGTATTCGATCGATATGGCCGGAAACACGGATCTGACCAGAAAAGGTCAGATCTAAGGCCGGATGTGGCTTCGACGGCTAGGAAAAGGCCATCTGGGGTGTCAGATCTGGCCATTAACGGCCACTTTGGTGGTCGTGTGACTGTTGGATAGATTCTGGCTACACCGGTGGTGGTTCCGAAATGGCAAGTATTGGTGGGTAGGGGTGTTTTTGTTAGTTTTTAAACTTTTTTCTGAGGGGTATTTAATGAAATTAATAAACTTATAGGGTCTAAAAGTAATTACAAAAAGACTAATATTTAGGAATAAAGTGCCAAACAACATTTGAAGAATAGATTGGGAATATGGATAAAAACAATAAGCCAAACGCACCCTTAGTTATCAAACGAGTTAATTTAGAACTAATTTTTTAGTTGTAGAATAATCATTTTAGTTGTCTATGATTTTTCTCTGCGGGAACACAAAAAATGGTGGGAACATGAAAATTTCAATTAATTTTGGCAAGTGAATCTTCTAATTAAGCTTGGAAAACTCAAAATAACTTCAGTAATGCACACCATGGCTTTAAAACCCGGCCTGGCCAGTAGGTTGAACAGTTTGAAACTGGTGGCTACACGGGTTAGTTCATGTAAAAAATCAGAAATAGCATTTGACTCGCTTCACCCCGCAGTTGAAACGGTTTTTTTTTTCAAAACCACCAGTTCAACCGGTATAACCCGGGTTGCTATAGTAAAATATTAAAAAATAATAAAATTAAAAGTAACCATTTTAGCCTTTCTTCTCCCTTCCCCATTTTTATTCAACAAAACCAACACAACAGAAAAGAAGAAAAAAACCCATAAAAATTAATCTGCATTTGAAATATTTTTTTTTTTTTTTTTTTTGTTGATGTCATGGCTACCCATCGGTCAGATCGTTTGACCTATAAAACCCGTGACCCATTGGTGGCCGGGTTCCCCTCCCCCCGGGTCGGGTTTTAAAATCTTGACGCACACATTCAAAATTAAAACAACAAACCAAAATCTTTGTAACCGAAGATAACACACACTTCACAAATTGTATGAAAATCATTCAAGAAAGAAAACTCATAATCAAACTAAACTAAAGAGAAAAGCGTAGTCCACAAATGTATGAAAACATTCAGATAAAGAAAACCAATAATCATACTAAATCGAAGAGAGTGCACTTGAAAATTTGTAACTTTAAATAAATATAAACAAGAAAATCTGTACTTACCAGAGATTAGGGAGTAATGGTTTTGAAGTTTGTGAACCGTGACGGATCATAATTTGCTAAATTACTTAATAATAAAATTGGACATAGGCTACAATCTCAGTAAATTTAATCATAAAAAAATTACCAATATGCCATTCATCTAAAAGACGAATATACCCTTTCCAAAGTTTACCATCCTTAAAACGTTTCTAAGTGTGTGACCCGTAGACTCTTCATATCGCAGTGAGTAGTATTGCGATTGACACCAATTAATGCCTCACTACACACCACACACACACAAAGATGACCCTAGCAAGGCTTATGGCCACCCGATAGATTCGAATTCAGCGAAATAGCTACCTATCAAAGATATGGTTACGTGCAACAAATCCTTCATCATTTGTTATCTCATCAAGGCCGGGATACATAATAGTGTTAATCTCAGTTATCCTCGATATCTTTGTATTCAGTACTAGACCCATGACCGAAATAATAAATTAGATGAGCAACAACTCAATCCCACTGTGGCCATAACTTTAGTGTCATTGCCATTCACTGAATTGCGCCTGTGAAATAACTTTTTTCGTACTAGGAGTGATGAATCTTTTGTTAATCCACCATAGTCTTGTACAACTCCTCGATGTAGTTAATCACTACCATATTGATAGCTCTAAACAGAACTATGTGGGCTAGTAGTGACTCAAGTCTAAGGATCACATGCACCACCATTCGGTAAAGGATTATTATATAGACACAGTTTTCATCCATATTGAATCCTTTGGTGGGTCTGTCCAATAAAATTGCCTACAACAAGCACCCATGTATTGCAAGAGTGTCGGCAAACAACTGACAAGTGAGATCAGTCATGCCTTTCGCAGGGTCGTTCAACACTATGATAGTCTATCTCGTATTATTTGTGTCCTTGGTCAGAATAATACTGGGGCTATGGACATTTCTAGAGTGGTCGCCATATGTGATATAAGGTTCTCATTTCAAGATTTGAAACCTTGATTCCCTCGTCATGGTTCTACCATCCTAAGGACATATCAATACAATACACATATGATTTACATGATATAAAATAAAAAGTTCTTTATTGATATTATATAATGGTCAATTCTATAATAATTGATTGGCTCTAGGGCACCTACTCTAACAGGTGTGCAAATTGAGTGCTAAGCATTTTTGATGAAATTACAATTTGTCCCCTAAAATGACAATTCTAGGAGGAAACTGAATTCATCCCTAAATTAAATATTGTTGTAGTTCCAAATTCGTCCCTAAAAATGTATTTTCACAATCTAGGACAAAATCATATTTTATCCCTAATAAGTTTTCCAGATTTTGTACCTTAGAGACAAAAAAAAAATTTGTCCCAGAAGAAAAAGGTTTTTACCTACAAAATTTTTCATCCAAAAATAATAAATTTTGTCCCTAAAAATTTGTTTTTGCAACAAGGCAAAAAAATCATATTTCATCTCTAATAAGTTTTCCAAATTTGTACAATTAGAGACAAAAATTTTGTCCCAGAAAAAAAGAGGTTTTTAGCTACAAATTTTTCATCCAAAAATAATAAATTTCATCCCAAAATGATTTCCCTCCGCATTTTCATCCTCCCTCCAAATGGCATGTGGTGTGGGGTGGAAATTGAGTGCTAAGCATTTTGTGACGAAATTACAATTTCGTCCCCTAAAATGACCATTGAGATGAAATTGAATTCGTCCCTATATATTTTGTCCCTAAATTAAAAATTTGTTGTAGTTTTCGTTGCATTATCAAAACCATACAACTCGAGTGCATAAAATCAATTCTGCTTTTGATTATCAAGCCTGTACAACATTATCAAACCTGCAATTCAGTGCATAAAATCAATTATGCTTTTGGACTATATCAGTTGAGAAAGACTATCCTTAGCCAATTGATAGCTGCATGAACTAACCATAGTTAACTTCTGTTTTAACTATAAATTGGGAGATGACAGGGCGCTTAGTAAGAATGTCAACAATTTCTTGCTTTGAGGGAAACTATGAAAACTAACTTCTTAGCTAGAACTTGATCCTAATGTAAGGGCATCAATTTCAATATGTTGGTGTGAGCATGAAACACTAAAAAAAAAAAAAAAAGGAAAATTCATTTAACTTTGAACAGTTGTAACAAGTTGCCCAGAAACCATTTGTTACTGCAATGGCACCGAGCATTTTTCAATAACTCAAGCGTACATTACAAGAAACTTTTATACAATTGCAACTACAAAGATGACCCTCGTACCACCATATTAATCAATAAATAAATCAACCTTACACTTGAAAACACATATCAATTTTCTTTTTCAACATCTTCATCTTCGAAGACTAGCAAAATCAAGAACTACTGCCTTTCTCATCTGCTGAGGATTCGAACCAACGTTAAACCCACTAGCCACAGAAGAAGCAGACCTCACAGGACCTTTGTTAACGTTACGTTGGCGAACGAATTCATTTCCAGATCGATTTTCCAAGAATTCCACGGGAGGAGGCAGAAATTCTGACCTTGTTCGCCTGTGGGAATTCGAACCCTCCAAGGACTCACCTCCGCCTAACAAATGGTAGCTTTGGTGGCTGGAACTGTCAGACAAGCTCCGGTAGCCCTTCTGAGGTCTCGGTTTCTTCACAACGTGAATGAGGTAAGGAATCAAGCCCTCCATTGTACTTAATTAAACTTTTTGGCTCTTGCTTTCTTCCTTCCTTTTCTTCTTTCAGAGAGTGATTCGCTTCAAGATTTATAACTTTGAATGTAATGTTTCGAATATGTTGTTGGTATAAAGGTTAGGAACAGCAACCTCTATTTATAGTAAACATGATTTCATTCTAGAAAATGTGGTGATATATATCCAATATTTGTTACTTTTGTGAGACAGAGTTGGCAAATTTGGTTTTAAATATTGAAAGTCATACATATCCATTGGCAAGTCTATGAAACGCGGTGGCAGTCAGAAAAAAAAAAAGTATGCCAAATTATGTATAAACCCCGCAAAAGCAAAAGCAAATTTTGACTTTCTAATTTTTCAACAAAACAATGTTCAGGTTCTATCCAGAGTGGTTTATAATTTATTATACTCCCTGGTTTTTTTATAAATGTTGTTTTGAGAGTATTAACTTTTTTAAAAATAAATAACGTTAACTTTTCTCATTCAATGTTTCTTTCACCCACATCTCCATTCTCTTCTTTGCCCCTCATCTCCTCTCTCCACTTTTTCCTATGCGCACATCTCTTATCTCTCTCTTTATCTATCTTTTCTATCGCCCACATCTCCTTTCTCTACTCTGTCCTCGTCTCTTCTCTCCACTTTTTCCTATGGCCTACATGGCTACATCTCCCCTCTCTCTCTCTCTCTCTCTCTCTCTCTCAATATTTCACACATGTTTAGTGGGAAAAACAAAATTTTTCCACATGTAATATCAGAGGAAAAGGTCAATTTAAGGAGAGATAAAATTGATTCATTAAAAACTGTGCAGAGCAGAGACTTAAAATGACAGTTATATAGAAACGGAGGGAGTAATAAATAACTAACTACTTTGATCTAAGTTATCTTTCATTTATATTATATATGCTAACTAATATTTGGAAGTAAATCATGTAACGTAAAATGATATGTTATATGAAACCACTGCCACCAAGTTGTATAGATGGTAAAAGGCCTAACGACTTACACATACCCAAGGTTTGCTGTAACGACAAAGTGATACCCAAAAGGTTTTGAAATGACAAATAGGTATCTTCTATCATGTGCTGTTAGTGATTTCCGTTTGGTAATAGTGAAAAGACTAGAATACCCTTCAAAGTTTTATATTTTACTTTTTTATAAATTTAAAAATTTCTAAAAAGCCTCATAGGTTTGCTAATTTAACTAAACACCCTAATATATAATTTTTTTATAAAATGACAAAAACACTCCCACCACCCGCAGTGCCAGATTCTGGCAACCACTGTCGGAATCTGGCCGAAAAATTGCATTACGACATAGACCCGTCGGATCTGTGTTGTAACACGTCGATCTGGCCTTTTTCGGCTAGATCCATGGCGGATCTGGTCGAAAAAGGTCAAATCTACGGCCAGATTTGGCCGTCGAGGCCGCAAAACTCTCGACGGCCAGGTCCATGGTGGATTTGGCCGGAAAAAGCCAGATCGACGTATTACGACACAGATCCGACGGGTCTGTATCGTAACGCAATTTACCGGCCAGATTCCGACGTTGGTGGCTGGAATCTGGCACTGCGGGTGGCGGGGGTGTTTTTGTTATGTTACAAAATTTTTATATGTTGGGGTATTTAGTTAAATTAGCAAACCTAGGGGGTTTTTCATAAATTTTTAAATTTATAAAAATCTAAAATATCAAACTTTTAAGAGCATTCTAGTCTTTTCACGATTATCAAACGGAAATCACTAACAATATATAACGGAAGGTATCTATTTATCATTTTAAAACCTTTTACGTACCACTTTATTGTTACGGTAAACCTTGGGTATCTGTAAGTTGTTCTCCCGATGGTAAAATGATAAAAGTTTCCACTAAAAAAAATATGAAATACGGTTTGATTTGATGGGTAGGATTTTGGCTTTAAGAAATTCAAATGATTATCTGTATGTCAAATTAAACAAGATATTGGATGATATTTAAGGAAGATTGATTGAGTTGATATTTATCATATGTGTTTTGACCTTGTTGCCACAGAAAGTTGGCAAATTTGGTATTGACGTTGAAAGTCATACAAAAGAAAATGTCAACAAAACTTCTAGAGGTTGAATACTTGAACGTATATGCATGGTTATTTCCCATTATTTGTATTTTTATCTAATACTTCGCACTTGTCAAAGCTCAAACTAAACCTAGAAATTTATAGAGAGAAAAACAAGAAAAGTCAGAATATGAATTTCATTGATTGAATTAGTTTTACAACCACTTAGAGACTTTACAAAAAACAATGTGTAAAGAGAGTGAAGATGCAAGAACTAAAACGATGTCCCAAAACGCCATCGTTTTGGGACACAAAGGCTACAAGACTTGAAACGCCACCGTTTTCACCTATTTACAAAACAGTAAAACAATTTGTGAACTTAACACTCTGGTTCTATGATAAAAACATCTTTGGTCAACATTCCCCCTTAAACTCAACTCTCTTTACTTCTTTTGCCAGCTTTTTAACAATTTCTTTGATCAACTGCTCCCTGTAAACTCAACTTCCTTTATCCCTTTTGCACTCTTTGAATTCATCATTTGCATTAGCTCAAAATACCATCATGTTCAAAATTCAGCAGGTCTGCAATTCTACAACTTTGCATTAGCTCAAAATAGCATCACATTCAACATTCAGCAAATCTGCAACTTTGCACAATTAACAACTCAACTTCACTTCTGCACAACTAAAGCAACTCTGCAACTCTGTAGTAGCTCAACTTTGTACAATTAACAACTCAACTTCTGTACAACTAAAATTCAGCAACTCTGCAGTATCTCAACTTTGCAACTTTGCAACTTTGCACAATTAACAACTCAACTTTTTTACAACTAAAATTCAGCAACTCTGCAGTAGCTCAACTTTGCACAATTAACAACTCAATTTCTGCACAACTTTAAATCAGTTCAACTCTGCACAATACTAAATCCATAACCAATCTTCTGTACTTCATTAAAAAATTTGTACACCATCTATGAAATCAGTTTTGCACAACAGCATCACTTCTGTATAGCATTATCAAACCTGTACAACATTATCAAACCTGCAACTTCAGTGCATAAAATCAAGTCTCTCTACAAGAAATTTAAAATTTAGGGACAAAAATTTTCGTCACAAAAAGTTACAAATTTATCCTAAAAAGTAATGCTGAACGACAGACCAAATCGTCCCCAAAGCCGTGTTACCAAAGGGTAATGCCCACGAATAAACAAATCGTCCCCAAAGCCACGCCATTGGAGACGAAATACTGTTTCGTCACTAAAGATTATTTATTTGTGACGAAATTTTTTGTCCACAAAATAATAATTATTCGTCCCAAATGACACTGTTTTGTCTAAAAAAAAAAGCACAATTGGGGACGAAAAATTTGGTTTCGTCCCTGATTGGGTCGATGATTGGGGACAAATATTTTCGGCATTGTCTTGATTGGGGATGAAAATTGGTGTGGTGAATTAGGGAGGAAAAATTTCTTCCCTGATTGGGATGATAATATGATGATTAACCGTAACCCCAATTTATGAATCAACCCTACTAATTTTCCTTCATGATAATACCCAGATTCATTTTCACTTCACTACATAAACAAACAAAACAACAAAAGCTGAGTTTCCCAAATCAAAGTGCACTTCTTTATTAGTTAACAAAGATTGTCAACATTACAATTCCTACTTACCCACTAACACAAAATCTTCTAAGTTTCAAGATTCCAATTCCAAAAGAGTGAAACAAGAAACAAAATTGCAAACATCTTTGTTCTTTCCTATAATCTGGAATCTTCAATGTTGTCACAGTTTCTTGCTTGCTTCCATCCCTACTACTTTGAGCTAAAGTTTATCCGGCCTAAACACAATCTCTTTGTCTTCAACAACATTCTATTTACAATTCAGATTTTCTTGATTAGCTTCAAAGAATGATCTACCAGTTATTCCTCATCAGGTTGTTGTTGTCATTGCGACGTTAGTTGCTCTACTAATCTATCCAATGCTTCCTTCATCCACCCATATTGACTTTGACAAGCTTTTCTGGCTTCTGCCACACTCATCTGCACAAAAAATGTGACATAATTATCAAAAAAACTGTTCTTTATAAGATGCTTTTGATTTCGAATGTATACATTTCCTAAGTTAGGAAATAAACAACAAAACTACAGTTTGCAAACTTTTGCAAAACTACAGTTTGCAAAACTGCAGTGGACTGTAGACTGCAGAGTGCAGTTTTGCAAAACATATTAGTTTCCCAGTAATACTCTGAAAGCTTTTTAATAGAAGTTCAATAATTATGATAGCAGATGGAAACGAGGAAAGAGAGAATTCCTTTCAGCTATTAGTAGCCTGTTCATAGCATCGCATGCCTTTTACTTTCTTTTCTTCAATCATTACCCTCTTTCTCATTTTCCAACCCCAAACACTTATCTCTCCCTTCTCAAAATGACACAACTGCAGATGCTTCATAAAGTACACCCAGATGAATATTATTGAAGATGTTCACCTCTTTGCCAAGGAAGCAAATATTGGAGAAGCCACAAGCAGTCCAACCATAAAAGTAGACGATAGCACACCATCTTGGAAGTTATTCAAGTTAAAATCACCCACCATCATACCGTAAGACAATAAAAAAATAAAGTAACCAGCAGCCAAAAGATTAAAGGTCAAAAAGACAATCCAGTCAAAAAATTATTAAAAGCAAAGCAGTATATGCTACTTCATTTAGTTTTCCTCACAATTTCTCCTCGGGAAAATAATTTGGATTTTGTAGTGCATCATATGAAGAAGCTAACATCACAAGCAAAACAAAAAGAAATTTACATCAATGCTTAATATTTTGTTTGAACTAATATAAACATTGCAGGGAAATCATTTCAAGACAAACCTGTAAGGACAAATGTGTAGCCCATGCTATTTCTTGCTTCAAAGTAATTTCAGAACCCATCCAGTCTCATCTTCTGAATCCAAGTGAATCCACGAACTAATTTTTCCTGAATAGATTCGAGAATATACTGGGGGAGTTCCACAAGATTGTAATGCAAAAAGAACCTATTTTATCACTTTTTACCAAACCAAAATTTTTACAGAACATCCGCACCAGAGAAGAACTTTAGCATAAATCATACTATGACTTTGAATTTTTACAGGCCCGAACAAGTCTCTCAACCTGATTTTTTAAAAAGCAAACTCCTAAGCAAAAGACTTTGCTAAAGACAAAATCTTTCAAACAAGACTACAAAATCAAATGAATATATCAATTTCTTCTCCCAACCTCCTAATTATCTTTTAAAATCCGAACTCTTTATGGAAAATGTATGCTAAAAATCAAAAACTTTTTGAAGCAAATTAAAAATGTCATCTGCTTGAGAGAATAACTATTCGCATAAAATAATTCTCCTGATAGAAACTATCACATGCTCCAGCATCAAGATAAACAAGAAACTGAAACACATATGAAATGAAATGATTAGCAACAGTAAATTCAAAATTTTATACCCACAGCATGAACTATCTCTCATACCATCCAGAAAAAATAATTCGCCCAAGTAGAATCTATTACGGGCCCAAAAAGGTTAGCATACATGACATATAATTCAAACAAGACTATAAAATCAAATGAATATATCTAAGTCATCTCCCAACATCCTAATTTTTTCTTATAATCGGAACTCCTTATGCAAGGAGTATGCTAAAAAAAAATTCAAAGCAAATTAAATATATAAAAAGAAATGATTACTAACTGTGAATGGAAAAGTTCATACCCACAACATGACTACTCCATTGGGAGGGGCTCAAAACCAAGTCAGAAGCAGCAAATGGCAGAACATTTGATCCACCACTAGCGTCTTTTTCTACCAAGCTTGGCCTATAAGCGGGGTCCATGTGTAAGATTTGAAACAGGTGGGGGTTAAAGAGAATGATCAAAACCAAAACCAAAGAATCGAAAAGAAAAACACTAACCAGAGTAGCAACGACAAAATCGAAGCCACGAGAGATTGTAGGACAAAAGATGCGGCATGTCATCGTCGAAGTCAGTCTCCACTCCACAATATCTGGATTCGTTTTTGTCCCATCCTCCTCTCTCACCCAACGGCAATGTTTTGCTTGCAGAGAAGACGAAGACGAAGTCGAAGAAGAAGAATAAAGATGAAAAGAAGGCTTTTGGGTTTATTGATCTTCTTCTGCAAACAATACAAACAAGAGGCCTCAAGGGTTTTGGTTGAGTTAAACGGAGGGTTAATTTTCTGACTTCCCCTGAAAATAGGTTGGGTTTACTTACATTTGTAAACTTCAAAAGACGGACTGGAATCGGACAAGAAGATGGTGGAGAATAATGGACTATGGAAGAAGAAGATTGAATGCATGAACGAAGCCGAGAAGGAGAATGGACAGTGCGTGGAGAAGAGAAGATGCGCTCAATATCCGAGGGGAAACTGGGGAATTAGGTTGGGTTTATATAGGAATGGGTTTTTAGTAATTAACTTAAACAATTTGGTCATTTCCTTAGTTCATTATTTTTTAAAACTAATTTTTATATTTTATAAACCATATTTAGCAACATATATTTTAGGGTGCGTTTAGTTTATTATTTTGGATAAGATTTTAGAAATAGTATTGGATACTTGGATATAGGAGTATTACGAGATAAAATTTAAAAATTTATGAAAAAGCCCACAAGGTTTGCTAATTTAATAAACACCCCAATATATTAAAATATTGTAAAATGATAAAAACACCCCTACCACCCGCAGTGCCAGATTCCGGCCACCACTATCGGAATCTGGGCGGAAAATTGGATAATCACTCATATCGGTTGGATCTGGTGGGTATTCGATCGATATGGCTTTTTCCGGCCATATCCACCACGGATCTGGCCAGAAAAGGCCATATCTAAGGCCGGATGTGGCCTTCGAAGGCCGGAAAAGGCCATCTTTGGCCGTCAGCGATAGCCAAAGATATGGCCGTCGTTGTCTATCAACGATGACCATTTCTTTGGCCGTTAGATCTGGCCATTACTGGCCACTTCTGGTGATCGTGTGACTGTTGTGATAGATTCCGGCTATCACCGGCGGTGGTTGCCAGAATCTGGCAAGTATTGGTGAGTGGGGGTGTTTTTGTTAGTTTTTAAACTTTTTTTCTAGGGGGTATTTAATGAAATTAAGAAACTTATGGGGTCTAAAAGTAATTAAAAAATAGACTAATATTTTGGGAATAACGTGCCAAACAACATTTGAAGAATAGGATTGGGAATATGGATAAAAACAATAAGCCAAACGCACCCTTAGTTACCAAACAAGTTAATCTAGAACTAATTTTTTAGTTGTCAGAATAATCATTTTAGTTGTCTATGATTTTTCGCTGGCGGGAACACAAAAATTCGGTGGGAACATGAATATTTCAATTAATTTTGGCAAGTGAATCTTCTAATTAAGCTTGGACAACTCAAAATAACTTCAGTAATGCACACCATGGCTTTAAAACCGGGCCCGGCCTAGCCAGTTGAACTAGTTTGAAACTGGTGGCTAGACCGGGTTAGTTCATGTAAAAAATCAAAAATAGCATTTGACCCGCTTCCACTTGCAGTTGAACCGGTTTTTTTTTTCAATAAACCACCAGTTCAACCGGTATAACCCGGGTTGCTATAGTAAAATATTAAAAAATAATAAAATTAAAAGTAACCCTTTTTAGCTTTTTTCTTCTTCCTTCCCCATTTTTATTCGACAAAACCAACACAACAGAGAAGAAAAAAAAAACCCATCAAAAATTAAAATATGCATTTAAAAAAAAAAAATTGTTTTTTTGTTGAGGTCATGGTCTGACCCATCGGTCAGACCGTTTGACCCATAAAACCCGTGACCCAATAGCTTGGCCGGGTTGGCGCCCCGCCCCCCCCCCCCCCAGGGTCGGGTTTTAAAATCTTGATGCACACATTCAAAATTAAAACAACAAACTCAAAATCTTTGCTTAACCGAAGATAACACACACTTCACAAATTGTATGAAAATCATTCAAGAAAGAAAACTCATAATCAAACTAAACTGAAGAGAACGCATAGTCCACAAATTGTATGAAAATCATTCAGATAAAGAAAACCAATAATCATACTAAATCGAAGAGAGCGCACTTGAAAATTTTGTAACTTTAAATGAAACACAAACAAGAAAATCTGTACTTACCAGAGATTAGGGAGTAATGGTTTTGAAGTTTGTGAACCGTGACTGGATCGTAATTTTGCTAAATTACTCTAATAATAAAATTGGACATAGGCTACAACCTCAGTAAATTTAATTACATAGAAAAATTACCAATATGCCCATTCATCTAAAAGACGAATATACCCTTTCCAAAGTTTACCATCCTTAAAACGTCTTCTAAGTGTGTGACCCCGTAGACTCCTTATCATATTGGCAGTGAGTAGTATTGCGATTAACACCAATTAATCGTCTCACTACACACACACACACACACACACAAAGATTGACCCTTAGCAAGGCATTATGGCCACTTGATAGATTCGAATTCAGCGAAATAGCTACCTATCAACGATATGGTTACTGTGCAATCAAATCCTTTCATCATCTGTTATCTCATCAAGGTTGGGGTACATAAATAGTATCAATCTCAGTTATCCTCGATATCTTTATATTCAGTTACTAGACCAATGACCGAAATAATAAATTAGATAGAGCAACAACTCAATCCCACTGTGGCCACAACTTTAGTGTCATTGCCATTCACTGAATTGCGCCGTGAAATAACTTTCTCCCGTACCCGGGAGTGATAAATCCTCTGTCAATCCACCATAGTCTTGATACACTCCTCGATGTAGTTAATCACTACCATATTGATAGCTCTAAATAGAACTATGTTGGGCTAGTGTCAAACTACACCAATAGGTACTTGGGCTAGTGATCTCAAGTCTAAGGATCACATGCACCACCATTCGTTAAAGGATTTATTACATAGACATTGGGGTTATCATCCATATTGAATCCTTTGGTGGGTCTGTCCAATAAACTTGCCTACAACAAGCACCCATGTATTGCAACAGATTGTCGGCAAACAACCTTGACAAGTGAGATCAGTCACTGCCTTTCGACAGGGTCGTTCAACACTATGATAGTCTTACTGTATTATTTGTGTCCTTGGTCAGAATAATACTAGGGCTACGGACATTTCTAGAGTGGCCACCATATGTGATCATAAGGTTCTCATTATCAAGATTTGAAACACTTGATACCCTCGTCATGGTTCTACCATCCTAAGGACATATATCAATACATACAATTATGATTTACACGATATAAAATAAAATGTCTTTTATTGATTAATGAACATTATTACAAATAGTTAATTCTATAATAATTGATTGGCTCTAGGGCACCTACTCTAACAGGTGTGCAAATTGAGTGCTAAGCATTTTTTAATGAAATTATAATTTTGTCCCCTAAAATGACAATTCTAGGAGGAAACTGAATTCATCCCTAAATTAAATATTTGTTTTAGTTCCAAATTTCGTCCCTAAAAATGTATTTTTCACAATCTAGGACAAAATCATATTTCATCTCTAATAAGTTTTCCAGATTTTGTACCATTAGAGACAAAAAAAAAATTTTCCCAGAAGAAAAAGGTTTTTACCTACAAAATTTTTCGTCCAAAAATAATAAATTTTGTCCCTAAAAATTTGTTTTTGCAACCAAGGACAAAATCATATTTTGTCTCTAATAAGTTTTCCAAATTTTGTACAATTAGAGACAAAAAATTTCGTCCCAGAAAAAGAAGGTTTTTAGCTACAAAATTTTTCATCCAAAAATAATAAATTTCATCCCAAAATGATTTCCCTCCGCGTTCTTTCATCCTTCCCTCCAAATGGCATTGCTGGTGCGGGATGGAAATTGAGTGCTAAGCATTTTGTGACGAAATTACAATTTCGTCCCCTAAAATGACCATTCTGAGATGAAATTGAATTCGTCCCTAAATATTTTGTCCCTAAATTAAAAATTTGTTGTAGTGTCTGTTTCTGCATTATCAAACCACCTTACAACTCGAGTGCATAAAATCAATTCTGCTTCTGCATTATCAAGCCTGTACAACATTATCAAACCTGCAACTTCAGTGCATAAAATCAATTATGCTTTTGGACTATATCAGTTGAGAAAGACTAATCCTTAGCCCAATTGATAGCTGCAGGAACTTCAACCATAGTTAACTTCTGTTTTAACTCATTAAACTGGGAGATTGACAGGGCTTTAGTAAGAATGTCAACAATTTTTTGCTTTGAGGGAACATACTGAACAACTAACTTCTTAGCTAGAACTTGATCCCTAATGTAATGGGCATCAATTTCAATATGTTTGGTGTGAGCATGAAACACATGATTGGCAACCAATGCTCTTGTACTCACATTGTCACTAAATAATAGGAGAAGAAGCCAAAACAACACCTAATTCTGAAAAAATACTCTATAACTAGGCTATTTCTGTGGCAGTATGAGCTAATGCTCTGTATTTAGCCTTAGTAGAAGAAAGTGCCATTACTTTCTGCTTGCGGGAGCTCCATTGTATGAGATTAGGACCTAAGTAAACACAATAGCCACTTGTGGATCTCCTATCGTCAAGATTGTTGCCCCAATTAGCATCAGCATAGCATTCTACACTAAGAGAAGCTGCTGGTTTGAACATTAAACCATGGAACTGAGTACCCTTAATGTATGTCAAGACTCTCTTACAAGCTTGCCATTGTAATTTTAAGGGAGCTTAAAGAAATTGACTCAGCTTATTAACAGTGAAGTTGATGTCAGGTCTAGTTAGGGTCAAGTATTGCAAAGCACCAACAGTGCTCCTATAA